GACTCCTAGGTATTTTCTTTGTGTTGTTACCATCATTGTCCATGGGGTTGTCTTCTTCCTTTCTCATTCGGATAGTTTGTTGTGAGTGTACAGAATGGCAACTGATTTCTGTAGTGTTGATGAGGTTTGTACCCTGCAATTGAACTGAGTTTCCTGAGTTTTGTTTTGTTTTCTTTTGGTGGGGGATTGCCTTCAGCATTTTGTATGTAGAGAATCGGGTCAACTGGAATCTTTCCTCTGCCATCTGATACTCTTCTTTCTTCTTTCCATGCCGTTATTATGGCGAGGACTTGCTCTGCATTTGTGCTCCGCCTTGGTGGGCTCCAGGTACTCCAGCTGACTAGGGGGGAAGCTTAGCATGGTGCTCCAGGTTAGAGCTGGCAGTGCTGAGCTCTTTTCATAGCCCAGGATTGGGCCCCATGGACCTCTGGGCCCTGGTTCCAGACAATCCTCCATTGGCCCTCATTTTCATGGTCTAAGAAAACTCCTTAGCTCCAGCAATCATATCTGCATTCCAGGAGACAAGAAGAAGGAAGAGGTGAAGAAGAGCACACGCCCTTCCTTTAAGTATGCTTCCCAGAAATTGCACATGATATTTTAGAAGGTAGTCACATAGCCACACCCAGCTACATGGGAGGTTGAAAAATATGGTCTCTATTTAGAAGGCCATGTGTGCAGCTAAAAACCAAGAGTTTATTACCAAGGAAGGAGGGAAACTAGCTGTGACATGTATTTGACAGGTAAAGAAACTAAGGTTTAAAGAAGTTCAGCAGTTTATTCAAGGACACCCAGGCAGTATGTAGTGGTGCTAGAATTCAAATCAGGTGGTCTGATCCTAAAGCCTGTACTTTTTTTAATGTTTATAGAGCACATTTTATTTTATATAATTGAATCCCATTGATATAATAGCAATGCATTGCTGGTCTTTTCTGGGTGAAATATACAAAGTTCACAAAATTTCTCTCCCCTTGGTGCATATCATACTTTTTTTGGTTTTTAAAAAAATTTTTTTAACTTTTCATTTTATATTGGATCATAGTTTATTAACAATGTTGTGTTAGTTTCTGGTGTACAGCAAAGTGATTCAGTTATACATATACATGTATCTATTGTTTTCAAATTCTCTTCCCATTTAGGTAGTTACATAATATTGAGCAAAGTTCCCTGTGCTATACAATAGGTCCTTGTTGGTTATCCATTTTAAATATAGCAGTGTGTACATGTCAATCCCAAACTTGCTAACTATCCCTTGCCCCCACCCTTCCCCCGGAAACCATAAGTTCGTTCTCTAAGTCTGTGAGTCTGTTTCTGTATTGTAAATAAGTTCATTTCTATAATTTTTTTTAGATTCCACATATAAGCAATATCATACGATATTTGTCTTTCTCTGTCTGACTTACTTCACTCAGTATGACAATATCTGTGTCCATCAGCGTTGCTGCAAATGGCATTATTTCATTCTTTTTAATGGCTGAGTAATATTCCATTGTATATATGTACCACATCTTCCTAAAGCCTGTACTTTTAACTGTTTTGCCGTACAGATTCAGAGAAGTTAAATAACTTGATGAGGTCACAGAATTGGCAAGTGCAGATCTGTCTGGCCCCCAAACTCATCTTTTTGCCATATTTACCCCAAGCCATCTATTTTACTTTGGTGGGCCATCAGGAGAGTGAAAAATATAAACCTCACTGTTCAACCTGAAAATTCCTGATAGAGGTTTATTAAGATATCTAAATAAAGTACATCAAGTGTCTTTTAAACACAGGACAACAATGAGCGCTGGAAGGACAGCAAATGAACCAAGATGACAGATAATCAGAGCTAGAGCTATTAAGAAACATATGCTGTAGAACCTGCTTGCTTTCTGAAGTGGGAATAAAGAACCAGTAAGGTACAGGTTGTGAAATGCTATTAAAAAATCAGTATTGAAGTTTGCAATCTTGAACAGAATGCTAAGTACTAAGTTTATTTTGTTTTTCTCACTAATCTCCTAGATTCCTAGCCCCACTCTAACCAGTCAGTAGGTTATTATCAGTCCCTTCCACTCACATCTGGCTCTGGGATGGGGTGAGGCCCAGAGTAAGCCCAGGTCTTTAGGTTCTGCTGAGCTCACCCAAGGTCTAAGAGAACAGACTCCAGTGCCTGCCTTGACTCACCCCATTTCTTTTCTTTCTTTTTCAACTCTTTCTTCACTGTGGATTATCCTAAAGCTGAGTTAATTGAGGCCTGAATAAGGAAGGTCATATTATAATTATAAATTCAGGACAAGTTTGCAATTCAACCTGAGCTCCTTTTCATGTTGCTCACAGAGAATACACTCATGGAGAGGGTATCAGTGGAATTGCAGTTTGATAACCAAACAGAAACATAATTGAAGCTGTGGTGACTAATACACAGCCACCCAAAGATAATCCACTGTGGTTTGAATCCATCACATACACACACACACACACACACACACACACACACACACACACACACAC